GCAGGCGTTGTTGGAGTTGACCCTTTCGTTAAGTTGTTGAATTGTTGTTGAGTTGTAGAGTTTTTGGTGTATTGCATTTTGTGTGTGTGTGTGTCTACAACATAACTCACAAATCAAAACTTGGCCATTGCTGCAGCAGCAGCAGCAGCAGTTGCTGTTGCTGTTGCTGTTGCTGTTGTTGCTGCCAGCAGCATCTACACATGGCCAACAGCAGCACATACATAACTAATAGATACAAAAAGCCGTATCTTTTAGGTGAATGAACTGTAATGAGAATGTGAACCTGGGCAACAGCAGCCAGCCAGCCAGCCAGCCAGCCAGCTAGCTGGCCACTGAGATGTTGAAAATCGCAACGTAAAGTGCGCAATTGAAGCTGCTGCTGTTGTTGTTGTTGTTGTATGAGGCAACAGCAACTGACCAACAACGAGACGCGACAAAAAAGAGCGAACACAAAACAAACGAATGCAAAAGTCAAAAGCAGCGCCTGATGGAGTATACATATATATATATAGATGCCAGCCAAGGGGGAGGGGGGTGGTAGGCATGTCGATGTGAGTGCTGAGTGAAGGGGCCAGGCGACTAGGAGGGGCAGGTGGGCTTGGCGACTAGGGAGTTGGGCTGAGGCTTGGCCGGGCGTCACTGAGCTGCATGCATGCTGCAGCCAATTGCAGCGCTTCAAACTGACCAACAGCAACAATAATAAGTAGCAATACCTGGCAGCCAGGTAGAGCACACACACACACACACACTTCTGTGTGTATACATATGTACACATGTATGTATGTGGTATACATATTTATATGCTACTGCGATCAGTTGCAATCCGATCTGATTCAATCGTTCGCTGCAGTTCAAGGACGCAGCTACTTCAGATTCTTTTCTCTTTCAGCAACTTGCAACTGGAATTGTGGCACGAAACTTGTTACACAAAAATCGAGCTGGCAAAAGAAAGGGGACTAAATGATATATATGATATATAGCTATATATAAATATAAATAGTTGAGCAATTCGAGAATAGAAATCTATTCATTGACAGTATTTAAACAAGCAAGAAGGCTCCAGTCGAGACTGCTCGACTAGGAGATACCCTGAACCCTCCAAGCTGATATTCTACTCATTCTGCACTTCTTTTATGCACACATACATACACACGCATCCACACGCACGTATAATCACGCGCTTTGCTAACTGCGCAGTGGACAATATTACGAGAATTTTTTAGTTGAATAATTTATTTTGTAGACATACAATCTCAATGAAACTTTTAATGACTATATGGTTAATCATATGGTTAAAATCATATAGTTAAAATTCGTGTACATTCCAAAGCACAAGTCTATAGTACTTGAAATGCTGTTTTTACAAATAGGGGGCGAAGGGCGTGGTATCCAAAACCTATAAATTACAAAATCTTTGTATCGATCAACTGTATATACACAGTAAATCTGAAGTCTCTAGGTCTAAAGGTGTTCAAATTAGGCTGTAAAAACAAAATCAATTTTTCGATTATTCTCGATAAAAAAGTTATCGGATGAGTATCGAAAAAATATGATAAACTTGTACTGCGTATGGTACACACGAGTATGCATGCCAAATTTCAGCTTCTAACTTCTGAGATCGACGCACTCATACGGACGGACGGACAGACGGACAGGGCTATATCGACTCAGCTCGTCGTGCTGATCAAGAATATATGTACTTTATGGGGTCTGCCACGCTTCCTTCTGCCCGTTACATACTTTTTCACAAAACAATTATACCCTGATTTCCCATTTTCAATGGGTTCAGGGTATAAAAAATAACTGTGTCAGTTACTCTATTATCAAAATAAAAATCAAAGTTCCTAAGTTAAAAAAAAAAAAACAATTTATTTATCTATTATTATTATCTAAGATTGCTTTAGTAATAAACTATTTATCTATACCCATTAAAGGCGTTTTAACACCTCTTTGGTTTAACAGAATTCTACTAGCGCAATTTACCCTAGTTATATCTAAAATTGATTTAGAGACTTGTGTATCGGATCTAGTATAGTTGAGCAAACACTAGAGTTATAAATAAGACGTGAGCTGAAATGAAAATCAACTCGGAACTGAATAATTCAACTTCTTCTCTCACATTTTTTTCAGGTATTTTGAAAGCTCAGCCCAGCCACGACTCCATAATACATATGTATATATGTACATATATATATATATGTATATATGTCTACCTATATAAATATGTACATCATAATATCAAAGTTAATACCAATATAAATATATATATATATATATGTATGCACACACACACACACACACACACACACATGCTGTTGCAGCCAGCGTAAAACTTTATTTCCTTGCCTTGCATTTCCCTGCATTTTCATTGTGGGCAATTGTTGTTGTTGTTGTTGTATTTTGCTGCCGTTGCTTTATAGAGGGAAGTTAACTTTGCATTGCCTTTCCATACCCAGCAGCTCCCCATGCATTATGTCTACCTGTCTCTGTCGCTCTGTCCTTTTTGCGACTCCTTCGTTTTTGCTTTGTGTTGCACTTCTTCTTCTTCTACTTCTTCTTTGCCTTGTTGTTGTTGTTGCAGAGTAAATTAAAAATTCAATTTTTGTTGTGCAACTCTTGCACCTAACCCCCAAAAAGAAACCAGCCCAAACCAACCCCACCAACCAACCTCCTCCCTTCCCATCTCACACTCTTCTCTTAGCAATTCTATTGGTTTTTGTGTTTCTTCTTCTCCTTCCTCTTGTTTTACTGCCATACCCATAACAAGCCAATGTTGCGTGCATGTTAGCAATATGTTATTAGAAAAGCCTCGGCAGCAGTCGACCCCATCTCCAACTCCATCCTCCCTTGTGAGTGCCTAGATTCAACCCCCCCATCCCCACATACCACAGCAGCCAAGTGGCACCAGCATTCTTATTGCACGAGTTGCATCTACTAGAGGCCACGCCCACTTTTCAGCAATTTCTCACATTTGTGACCGTTCAAAAATCTTGCAATTTTTATATGTACATTAAATATAAATATAAATATAAATAATATAGTGGAAAATATTAATGTCAATAATATCACTTCTTGGTCTTCAGGAAGATTTAAAGTTTCTAATTGAAATGGAACCACAAATTTTACAGTAAAATTTGTATATTATGTATATACATATATAAATAAATGTATATACAGTAAAGTCCCGATAATTCGAAATGGCAAGGGGATCAGATTTTATTTTTCGATTTACACAGAAATTCAAATTATCGAGAATAATTGAGAATTTCTATCAATGGGATAAAATTTTTTCCGATTTATCCCGATTTTCGATATAACGGGGTATGATTTATCTTGAATCGACTATATATATTTATACATATATACATTTGCCGTATGGGTGGTCGGTGTATAATGGTATATATTTTCTTGAGCAGAGCGACGATCTAAGTAAATTTTGCCTTGTCCATTTGTTTATCTGTTTTACAATTAAAATCTGAAAATTTAACAATGAAAGTACTGCTAGCGCCGTCTATTGATCTTCCAAGCAGTTGAAATATCTGCCGCTTAGGGTCTTGGAAAATCGGTAAAACTTTATCCTGCAATGTTTTGGAGCTTAAGCTACAAAATGGAGTAGATAAGTGGCAAACTTTTTATGTCTGTTGATGTAGATTGTTTTCTGACTTCTATACCTTGACTGAGTATTATCTGTGATAGATCTTGATACAATTTTTAAAGCTCTGCATTCCACTCATATTCATACCAATTGTGATTTTCAGTGGAGCTCTTTGGATTTCAGTTGGGATAATAATGACCATAGGATAAAATTGGATGAATCCTATGGGTACAAATATCCTTCACTAAACACCAAAGCACTACACAGAATACAATGCTATTTTTATTATGTTCGCTGAGCGTCTATCAAATTTACATACTTATTGATATTACATATTAACATGTATCTAGGATATGCTCATTTATTTGGAGTGCTTGCCAGCTTCTTGGTTGGTTTTATAGATAGCCTCAACTACAATTGGAATATAGGATTTCTTATTCTCCTCTTTGGCCTTGGGTCGAATTTTCGATGAAGATTTGGGCTTTGGTATTTTCGATACGAACTGTGAACGACGAGACTCGGCTGTCTGATTACGGCAATTGCTATGGGAAAAGGAGACAAATTCCGTAGAAAAGTTAAGAAGTTAGTTGACTTGTCTTTCACATACATTAACCACTCGCTCGGCGTAAGTTTCTCAGTCCATTCCATCACTTTGTAATTCTCATCTTGCATCGGTTTAACATTATCATCTTGCATCGGTTTGACAGTTTCAGCTTTAAGCTGCTCCAATTCTTCCTCTGGCCTTTCGTCAGCATTCTGTGCCAACTTGATTGTGCTCAACTGTTAATTGTTAATTGAGAGTCTCGTTATTCTATGATAGATGATCAGATGCATGAGCTACCTTTTGTTGAGTTTCCTGCAACCAAAGGGGAATTGGATCTCCATTGCTAGCCTCGGCAATGTCCTTGACACTCTCGTCCTTCTCTGCCAGCTTGGCGATCTCATTCTCCGCTGAATTATTATTCATCTTGCTCGTATAATTTTTTTTCAATATATTCATTTATTTATTTATTTGTATACTCGCTTGAACGTTCAGATTGAACAAGCAAATATTGACTGCCGATTTGAGCAATCAAAATGTGAGCAGTCTGCCTACTGGCTAAACCATTTTTGACTAGTATATACTATACTTAGTATATACTTCTACTTATATATATAGTACTTAGTATAATAGTAAACAAGTATGTGTGTCTGTGAGTGTCTGTGCGCGTTTCTTGTTTAAGCAGAAAGACGCGAAGAATTATTGAAATATCAGTTCTTCGAAGGGTTCAGGGGATCTCGTAGTCGTGCAGAGTCCACTAGAGTTTGCTTACTTGTTTGCTACTATACTAAGTACTATATATATATATAAGTATAAGTATATACTAAGTATACTGGTAAAATATGGTAGATCCAGTAGGCAGAACAAAATTACACAAACAACTACTCACATTTTGATTGCTCAAATCGGCAGTCAATATTTGCTTGTTCAATCTGAACGTTCAAGCGAGTATAAAAATAAATATATTGAAAAATACGAGCAAGATGAATAATAATTCAGCGGAGAATGAGATCGCCAAGCTGGCAGAGAAGGACGAGAGTGTCAAGGACATTGCCGAGGCTAGCAATGGAGATCCAATTCCCCTTTGGTTGCAGGAAACTCAACAAAAGGTAGCTCATGCATCTGATCATCTATCATAGAATAACGAGACTCTCAATTAACAATTAACAGTTGAGCACAATCAAGTTGGCACAGAATGCTGACGAAAGGCCAGAGGAAGAATTGGAGCAGCTTAAAGCTGAAACTGTCAAACCGATGCAAGATGATAACGTTAAACCGATGCAAGATGAGAATTACAAAGTGATGGAATGGACTGAGAAACTTACGCCGAGCGAGTGGTTAATGTATGTGAAAGACAAGTCAACTTCTGTACCTTAACTTTTCTACGGAATTTGTTTCCTTTTTCCCATAGCAATTGCCGTAATCAGACAGCCGAGTCTCGTCGTTCACAGTTCGTGTCGAAAATACCAAAGCCCAAATCTTCATCGAAAATTCGACCCAAGGCCAAAGAGGAGAATAAGAAATCCTATATTCCAATTGTAGTTGAGGCTATCTATAAAACCAACCAAGAAGCTGGCAAGCACTCCAAATAAATGAGCATATCCTAGATACATGTTAATATGTAATATCAATAAGTATGTAAATTTGATAGACGCTCTGCGAACATAATAAAAATAGCATTGTATTCAGTGTAGTGCTTTGGTGTTTAATGAGGGATATTTGTACCCATAGGATTCATCCAATTCTATCCTATGGTCACTATTATCCCTACTGAAATCCAAAGAACTACACTGAAAATCACAATTGGTATGAATATGAGTCTAGATTTATCACAGGCGTGAGATAGCGATTATTGATTTTAACGATTTTAACTGTAAAACTATAGAAGGTATAGTACTTTAATGGGTGTAGATATACTAATACTAAATATTTTGTACCTTGGACGTGAATATATCATTTTTGGCCAACTCTCAGGGGAAATCTAGAGTAATGCACATTCGCAATATGCCACGGCTTCAAAAAAGAGACAAACGATTTACAGTTGGGCCTTTGATAAGGAAGGTAAGCAGTGAGTCGATTACTGAATAATAACTGTTCCAGCTTTACAACTTTAGAAGGTATGGATTTTTGGTTCTCTCTCTCAGTTGCCATGAATCCGAGAAAATTTCATATAAATGAACAACAAATGAACCAAATGAACGAAATAAATACGAATATGAATATGAAAAACATGTTGATTTTAATAAAAAAGAAAAACGAAAAAAAAGGAGAGAAAGAAAAGAGAAAACATATTTGCAGTAGTTGACTTCCTCATTTGATATATGACTTACATATGAGCACATACATACACACACATACATACATATAGTGCTGGGATATACGCAATGCTCTGCGGCTATATGGCTTGCATGTATATCTGCATCTGCATCCAAGGCTGGCAACTGGAATAAGCAATGGGGCCGATGCTGATATGTCTGCCTGCCTGCCTGCCTGCCTGCATATCTGTCTGTCTGTCTGTTCGTCCGTCAGTCCCTCTGTCTGTCTGTTCGTCTAGAACTTTCCAATTCCACGACCTGCTGCACTCGCCACCCGCATTCGGCTACGCACAGCTGTATATATAATATATGTATGTATATAAATATGTATATATGTTTGCTAGGGATGCCTGCGAAACTACCAACGAAAATGCGTTGCCAACCATACACACACACACACATTAGCGCCACCTAGCGACAAAACCAAGTGTACTTTGCATCTAAAGCGCGGCACAGCAAATGGCATCAAATTGCGAGCTCAGCTACAACAAAAAACAAAACAAAGCAAAAAAAAGAAATGCAGTTAAGGTTGACAAGGCGTCTAAGCGACTAGGCACAGTCGAAACCCAACAGTGAAGCCTTTGACCAAAACCCTACGCTAGCAATTGTAGTCCAGCACAGTGGTACAAAATCAATTGAAAATTCTAAGTATAAGTATAAGTATAAGTATAAGTATAAGTATAAGTATAAGTATAAGTATAAGTATAAGTATAAGTATAAGTATAAGTATAAGTATAAGTATAAGTATAAGTATAAGTATAAGTATAAGTATAAGTATAAGTATAAGTATAAGTATAAGTATAAGTATAAGTATAAGTATAAGTATAAGTATAAGTATAAGTATAAGTATAAGTATAAGTATAAGTATAAGTATAAGTATAAGTATAAGTATAAGTATAAGTATAAGTATAAGTATAAGTATAAGTATAAGTATAAGTATAAGTATAAGAATAAGAATAAGAATAAGTATAAGTATAAGTATAAGTATAAGTATAAGTATAAGTATAAGTATAATTATAAGTATAAGTATAAGTATAAGTATAAGTATAAGTATAAGTATAAGTATAAGTATAAGTATAAGTATAAGTATAAGTATAAGTATAAGTATAAGTATAAGTATAAGTATAAATATAAGTATAAGTATAAGTATAAGTATAAGTATAAGTATAAGTATAAGTATAAGTATAAGTATAAGTATAAGTATAAGTATAAGTATAAGTATAAGTATAAGTATAAGTATAAGTATAAGTATAAGTATAAGTATAAGTATAAGTATAAGTATAAGTATAAGTATAAGTATAAGTATAAGTATAAGTATAAGTATAAGTATAAGTATAAGTATAAGTATAAGTATATAAGTATAAGTATAAGTATAAGTATAAGTATAAGTATAAGTATAAGTATAAGTATAAGTATAAGTATAAGTATAAGTATAAGTATAAGTATAAGTATAAGTATAAGTATAAGTATAAGTATAAGTATAAGTATAAGTAATATAAGTATAAGTATAAGTAAAGAGCTCAACAATGATTGAAAGCAGTCCTCATATTGAGCATATATAATTGGATGCTTGAATGCAATAAATTTGAATCATCTTTCCTTTAACTTTCCTCTTTTTCCTATAACATGCATTCCTATAACAGAAGCATTCATTAACTTGCATTTTTGGGATTTATCTAAACTTCTTCTATATCTACCTTTGAAATGTTGAGCAAAAGTTCCCAGTAAAAAGTGAAAAAGTATTTCGAAATATAAAAATTCAATTGACTATGAAAATAATCAATTTTCAATATATTTTCAATCCATTAGCTCTCACAGTGTCTACTGTATAGGCAGATACTGCCAGCTATCTATAAAAACATATATGAATATTTGTTGGATTAATTAAGGGTCTTTGTTGCAGCACTTGAACTACTCTACTCAATTTGATGCACTTCACAAAATTTGTTGGCATTCCCTTTTTGATGTTTGAAGCAGTGTGCACAGTGAATTGCATACTCATTGGGCTTCCACTTCCAACTCGCCTTATAGCAGATGCAGCGATGCTGCAGAATCGCGCCATGCATTGATGAAACCAACATACAACATACAAAGCGAATGGGCAGAGGCATTGGGAGTGGGAGTGGCATTGGCAGAGGCAGTGGTAGGGGGTTGGCCAACATCAGAGAAACACAAAGAGAACTCCAGAATTCTGGCTGTAGGGAAAGTTGTCAGTTCCCATTTCCCATTTCCCAGCGGCGGGTGGGTCGATAGAGTTTGGTAGGAGGAAAGTGGCCGTTGGAGGGGCACAGTGGGTGGCTCTCTGTGGGGATGCTGCTTGGCAGCAGTGGGTATACTTGGCTGGTTGGGCTGGCAGCGCCTCGCGCTTATGTATAACAGTTGTCGCACTATGTATACAAGTTGGAGTCGCAGTCTTATGCCAAAAAGGTAGCATAAATAATGCCAGTCTTATCTATCTATATTTATTATCTATATCTATATCTATATCTATATCTATATCTATATCTATATCTATATCGATATCGATATCGATATCTATATCTATATCTATATCTATATCTATATCTATATCTATATCTATATCTATATCTATATCTATATCTATATCTATATCTATATCTATATCTATATCTATATCTATATCTATATCTATATCTATATCTATATCTATATCTATAACTATATCTATATCCAAATCTATATCTATCCCTAGTAGCCGCAGGATTTCTATCTATATGGAAAATGCTTGATTTGATAAACATTTTTAGATATCATATGTGATTAAAGTAAGGATTTAATTGCAGAGAAATGGTGGGATAATCAATCTTTAGATATGATCTTGAAATGAAAATGAAAATATGATATATAATGAGTAAAGAATACGCAGACTTAGATTTTTTCTCGATTTGCCACGCCTTTGATCGATGTACATATGTATATTTTTTATTCTTGTACAAATCAATAGAGGGTATCAATAAAAAATTTAATAAATGCAACATCTAGATTATCTAGCTCTAAAACTATAGAAAATATGGTTTTACCCGGTTTGCCACGCCTGCAATAGTCGTAGGTATATACGTATATATATACCTAGATATATATCTAGGTAAACATTTCGACAGTATCGCACTTCAACTACCATGATTTCTGAGATACTAGAAAATGCATTTTCCGATTAAGCAACATAATCTTTACACTTTCGTGAATGAAAATAGCAACAAAATAACGCTTGCTTTGTTTTACCTAATGAACTCAGGCATGATTCCTGCTGCCTGGTAAATACATTTACAAACAAACAAATGATTTTGTCATAATTCTAACATGATAATTTGAACTGCATTTAATATGCAGACACTTCGCTCAACTAGCAATTTCTTACAATGAGCTAATGTAATGTATATGAATAAATATATATAAAACAATAATCAGGCAGTGCTAATATAATATGCGCAAATAATAAAGAGATAATTATACATAGCATATTAAGATATATATGTATGCATATATATATATATACATATATACATATATTATATACCTATTATCTAAACCTCCATTTGGCATGTGCTTAACTCACATTTGTTTCATCACATTTCCAAATTTCAATTAAGACCTGCATTAACAAATCGCAGCAGTTGCCTGGAATTCAGCCAATGGCAATGGCTGTGCGAGTGTGTGCGTGCGCGTGTGTGTGCGTGTGTGTGCATGTGTGAATAACGGCTAATCAAAACACAAATAATTATATTAGCAAGAGTGAGAGCTGGAGTGTTCTCGCTCTGTTTGTGCCAAAATCTAAGCAAACATTGGAGATGTCTTCATTATCTATTTGCTGGCATTTCAAACTGTAATTTGTAAAACATGGAATTTTAAAAATTTGTATGTCACAATATCGATTGAGTGAAAATCGGAATCGAATTGACCAAAGAAATCCAGATTCTTTAGGCAGAGATTAAACCGATATAATCAAACAGAAAAACTACTGGGCAAAACATAACTAGAGCTAAATGAATCGGGATAATATAAGAAAATATAATAAATAATAAACTAGATAATAGATAGACACATTCACATATAATAACGAAATATGAAATTAAATAGAAACAAAATTTCAAAAACTTTTAATTAAAGCTAATGGGCAATTTTCCTTTGTATTTTATGCTATATATATAGGGTAATTCTTAAGAGACAAAAAAAAAAAAAAAAAACTAAGGACAACATGGACCAGATAGCGTCCAGCTGGTTGGCCTGTCCCAAGGCCATTTTGTAATCAGACAAATTGTTTCAAATTATAGCAGCGCCATCTAGCGTTCGTTTCGAATTGTGTGCCAAATGCAGTTTTGCGTGCGAAAACTGTTAAATGAATTATACAAAGTGGGAGTGAAACATAGCAAAACAGACAGATACACTGACACACGCACATACACAGCGACCTAGAGAGAGAGACAGAGAGAGAGAACGAAAGAGAAACAGGGCGAGTGCTAGGGGAAAGGCAAACAGA